TTTGGTCCCTGAGTGCTCAGTGTTGATAACCCCAACGGGGTGTGTGTGTGTGTGTGTGTGTGTGTGTGTGTGTGTGTGTGTGTGTATGCGCGTGTGCACACGTGCGCAGGTTGGCACTTGAGTTGTGGTCAGAGGCTGTCAGAAGCCCTAATGGCCAAGCTGGGCACGAGCAACATGAGGGGTATTTGAGTGAGTCAGAGGAGAGTCTGCATTGGTTGGGGAGTGACAGGTGCTCTGGGGGCTTGGGGATGCTTACAAATGCAGAGCGAGGGGGGCGAGGTGTGTGGCTCTGGCCTTGGCCATAGGGCTGTTTTATAGGACAGCTAGCCTGTCCTGAGGCATGATGTCCGATGCATGCAGCAGGGGTTTCCCACTGGGCCCAGAGTCCCTCTGTCTTTTGCCTTAAATCCCTGTCCCTGTCCAGGCAGAGACTGAGAGGCTTTGTTGCATGAGCCAAGGGTGCCTTTCCTAGACTGCCCGTGCTGTCTTGGGGCTGCGCGGCGCGAGGGTCCTCTGGTAGTACCCTATAGCATTCCCTTCACCCCTCCTTTTTTCTTCTATTGTTTTTTTTAAATAGATTTACATCTATTGTTATTGGAAAGGCAGATCTACAGAGAGGAGGAGAGTGCCTGAAAAATGCTGATATTTCCCGAGCACATCTGTGGCTTCCTTCATCCTTGTTCTCCCTTGAGATCTCACGGGGTCAGCCTTGTGCTGTAGTGGCTTCAGTCGCCATCTGCATCACCAGCATTTCAGCTAGGCGCTGGTTCCAGGCCCGGCTGCTCCATGTACCCGAGAAGCTGCTGGAAGATGGCTCAAGTACTTTGTGGGAGACCAATGTAGGCAGACGCTGATCAAACTCCTGGCTTCGTTGTGGCCATTTGGGGAGTGAACCAGTGCATGGAAAATCTGCTCCTCTTTTGTTCCGCATATCAAATTTATGAAAAAAAATTAAAATCTAAAGATGGATTTTCTTCAGCTTGGGAGGTGGATCACATGGTAGTTGCGTTATTTTCCTTTCGGGCAAAGTCGATATTTTATTAGTTCTCTGCTAAGGTTAATTCAGCTATCTTGATGATGTTTGAAAGTATTTTTTTTAATGTTATTTATTGTTTGTATTCAAACGGTATGTTATGGGCCTACTGCAATGGTTCAACTGGCTAATCTTTCCTTTGAAAGTGGCAGGATCCCCTATGGGCGCCGGTTCTGGTCCCCACAGCCCCGCTTCCCATCCAGCTCCCTGCCCGTGGCCTGGGAAAGCAGTGGAGACGGCCCAAAGCCTTGGGACCCTGCACCATGTAGGAGACCCGGAAGAGGCTCTGGGCTGCTCCCGCCTCACGCCGTGATCAGTGGCGTGGTGTTTTTTTACTTCTGTGGTTTATTAGTCGGTTTTATAACATGTCACCATCCCTGAAACGGGCGTTTCTTCTGCCAAGGGACATTTAGGCAAACTGTATACATCAACTTGAAAATCAGTAGATTTGTTGGGTTGGGATACTGCCTGGAGTTCCCTGGTCAGGGTCAGACCAGTGATGTCATGGGCTTTTTTTTTTCTTTTTAAAGATTTATTTATTTTTATCACAAATGCAGATATACAGAAAGAAGAGAGACAGAGAGGAAGATCTTCTGTCCAATGATTCTCTCCCCAAGTGACTACAATGGCCGGCTGCTTCAATCCAAAGCTGGGAGCCAGGAACTTCCTCCAGGTCTCCTGTGTGGGTGCAGGATCCCAAGGCTTTGGGCCGTCCTCAACTGCTTTCCCAGGCCACAGGCAGGGAGCTGGATGGGAAGTGGGACTGCCTGGATTGAACTGGCACTCGTAAGGGATTTTGGAGCATTCAAGGTGAGGGCTTTAGCAGTAGGCCATCGTACTGGGCCCTCCATGGGCCTTTTGCAGCCCTGGGCCAGACTCTCCTGGCCCACCTGGCAGCCTGCTTTCTGTGCCTTGGGAGTCCGTCTGATTTGGATGTTACACAGGGAGGGCCTGACTTTTTTTTCATTGAGGTTTACTGGGTCATTCAGGTTATAGATGATGACATTTTTAAACCTATGGCCTTTTTTTTTCCATGTATTTATTTATTTATTTATTATTTTGACAATCTTTACATAGTTAATTAGGGTAAAAAGGTTCAAGGGCTACAGGAAAGTGGATAAGATTAGTATTTTTCCATATTGTTTCCTTCATGTTTGAAGGGGGGTATTAAGGGAGAAGGCCCACCCAATTTCCTACCCTCCCCAGGTCCCGGATGTAGGGTATGCTCTGAGGTTCTTGCTCAAGTGGTTTTGATATTTCAACAGTTATGAATCGCTGCCAATCTTGCCACTCCAAGCACTATGAGGTCTTTGAAAAATCCACTGATTGACATAGTCCATCATAGCTGAGATGGTTGATTGACCTGTTCTGTCTTCTCTCTTTTCTTGGTTAGGGTTCTGAGTCCAGCCTTTAGATTAGGAGGATCTCCAAAGAAACTTTGTCTGAGGTGTTCTCAAACCAGATTCTTGTATGTGCTAGCAAGTACAGGGCCCGGCACAGTCCATCGCCCTGATCAGCTGGTGGTTGTAATTGCTGGGTTGGTTCTGTTTTCACTCCTGACTTCCACTGGAACCAACGGGTATTGCAGTCCAGCCTGGTTCTGCCCAGCACATACTTGGCCCTCACATAAACCAGTGGGAGCTGCAGCCCAGTTGGAGCGACCTACAATAACCCCCACCAGGCCTGCCCCCTACCCTGGGTTGGCAGTATGTGTAGCAGTAATCCAGTCTGTCCCACACCCCATTCCACCCCAGCCACTGTCTTAGTTTTATGCCCTCCCGTGGAAGTGGTAACCCAAGAGGGATGAGCCCACTATTTCCCTCCCAGGCCTCTCCCACTCCCAGATTATGCACTCTCCAGATAGTTCTGTGGTTTAACTTGACAGAACTGGCCCCCAGTGCCAGCTTCTTCCAGCTGATGCTGTAGCTAAGCCCAAACAACCCTTACCCACTCTAATTTTGTTTGCACCAGTAGGAATAATCAGCCCAGCCTGGCTTTTCCCTGGTCTAGTCCACATGAGGCGCACAGGTGTGGTAGCCCTGCCTAGTCTGGTCTGCCCTATCCCAGCTCACGCTCTCCAGCGGGAGTAGCTGTCCAGGAAAGGAACCCTCCCTTATTCCCCTGCCGGCCCTGCCCCCTCCCTTCCTTGTTCTCACGCTGGTTGGGCACTGCGGTCCCATCCTGTACAGGCAACCTCACCGCGGCATTCCGTATTGTGCACTAGACTTTGTTGTGACCGAACCTGGCTCCACCCACACTGGTGCTTGGATTTGCCGGTGGATGACGTGGACAAATTCAGCTTGGTCTTCTCCCAACCCCTGCCAATTGTATGCCAGTGGGTAACTTTTCATGGCCTGTTCTGGGCTGTTTCCTATCATGTTTCTTGCGCTTACCTGTCAGGTCTGTGTCCTGCCAGAGGAGTTGCCCAGGCTCCTCCATCAGAACCTCTCCCAATGCCAGGTTTCACGCTTACCAGTGGGTCCATGAGCCAGCCCTACCAGTCCACCTCCTGTCATAGCAGGAACTGTGGCTTTTCCTGACTGGCCTTCAACCCAATCTGGTTCTTGCTATTGGATATTTCAGCTCAGCCATAACCTATGGCCTTTTTTGTATGTCATTTATTTGAAAGGCGGAGTTACAGAGAAGGGGAATAGCGGTCTGTCATCCACTGTTCACTACCTGAGCAGCTGTAGCAGCCAGCGGGCTAGGCGAGGCTGAGGCCGGGAGCTCTGTCCCAGTTCCAAACCCAAACTTGTGTTTCCTTATCCCTGTTAGCTCCCAGACATTGTTTGGAGGGGGCAGGAAACTGGTACTGTACCATCCAGCACACTGGGGAAGCCGACTGTCTCGCCTTGCTTCCTCCTGATGAGCTCCCTGCGGTGGCTGTCTCGCTCCCGCCCAGTTTCTTTTGGTAAAGGATTCTGTACTTGTTTGAAAAGGCAGATTGGCCAAGCCAGTGTGCTTCCATCTGTTAGCTTGTTCTCCACGTGACCGAGCCAGGATCTCCACTCTGGCCTCCCAAGCACCGCGGCTGTCATCCTGCAGCCTTCCCAGCACCCCAGAAGGAAGCTGGGTCGGACAGAGCAGCTCCTGTTGGGGGTATGGGTGTCACACTGTGCCACAGGGCTGCTCCCCGGTGTCCAGCGTCTGTGTAGACTTGCGCAAGTGCATGGACAGACTCTGAGACGCTGTTTCTGATTTTGCTGTTTGCTTACAGTTTGAGTAGATTCCAGAAATGATTTACTGGGCAGTTTTGCTTCCTCCCTGCCCTGAGAACCTGTTGGTACCTGTTCACCTTGTCAGTAAAACTGAGCACTGCCCCTTTGTCTCATTTCTGGCTTCCAGCCCACAGTCACTGCCGCTGTGGTTCCCGTACCTACTGCCAAGCCTAGCACCAGCAGATTCGCAGGGATTTCTTAATGGCTGAATGGCAGCTTGCTTGTGGCAACCTAGACCTGCTAACTCTTCTTCCAGCTCCTGTGTGTGCTCTTTGTAACCAGTTGTTTTCTGTGGAGTCAGAGCCCACGAGGACCATGTCTGTCCAGGCGTATGAGGGTCAGTAGTCATGCTCGATTGCATTGTCAGATGTGAAAGTTAAGCATATCTGTAAAGCCTGATAATCTTTCTCTGTGGGATTTCCCTTCTTCCATTTTGAACCGAGTTTTCTGCTTTGTCTTAGTATGTTTTTCATGCAGGGCCCGTCTCCAAGGGTCTGCGTGTTCATGGCCGGACTCGCAGCACGCCGTGTCAGCCCGGGCTGTCTTGACGCTGTATAGGGAAGGCTCAGTAGTATTTGCTTTTTTGTAATCGAAAATGCTATCCTTGGGAATGAATTTGCCGTCAGTCTGCAAAAACAAGGTTTCTGGGTGATGAGGCCATATGTTTGCTAGGATGGGTAACTTTTCTTTCTGAGTGTGTGTAATTTGTGTATTTTCTCTGACCAGTAACTCTTTTCTTTCCCCTTCAGTATATTTTTGGAGACTTTAGTCCTGACGAATTCAATCAGTTCTTCGTGACTCCTCGCTCTTCAGTGGAGGTAAGAAATGGTTCTAGGGAGGGGCTCGCACTGGTCGTGTGCAACTAAGAATTCCAGTGTTTTGCACATGGAGAGATTGATGGCATTGTGAGCCTGCTGGCAGTTGTTGGGCTCATTTGCCTTGGTGGCCCAGAGGGAGAAGACAGGGTGGACACTGCTGGGACCTCCCGCCCCAGGGCCAAGGCCTCTGCTAGAGCTGTCAGGAAAGGCTTTGCTGTGGCGGGGGTGAATTGGGGGGCAGGTGGTCACTGTCACAGTATCAGGTCATGCTGACTCGCCATTGGCCATGCTGGTGGTTATAATTACTCAGTGCCGATAGTTGTGCCTTTGGTATTTGCCTTTGGTCAGTGCTGGGGCTTCGGATCCAGCTCCCTGCTGGTGAAAGCAGCGGAGGACAGCCTGCCGCTGGTCCTCCACCTGCGGGAGACCCGCGAGACTCCCTGGCTCGGCTCCGCCATTGCAGCCATTTGAGGGTCGCCCTAGTACATGGAACACCTCTATCCCTAGCCATGCATAAATAAATTAAATGTTGGAGTGCCCCGTGTCCCTTTGTGAATTCCCAGGGCTCCACCCCTGGAGGCTTTCTTGCCAACCCCGGCACCTTCCTGGTCAGCTGCTGCTCAGTGGTATTGTAAGAGTTCCTGCTGAGGTTATGACTGGAATCCTCACAGCCTTTGTCAATGCACCGTGCTGTGGGTGCTCCTCTTCTCTCTGAGTGCTCCTCTTCTCTCTGAGTGCTCCTCACCTCTCACTGAGTGCTCCTCACCTCTCACTGAGTGCTCCTCTTCTCTCTGAGTGCTCCTCACCTCTCACTGAGTGCTCCTCTTTTCTCTGAGTGTTCCTCACCTCTCACTGAGTGCTCCTCACCTCTCACTGAGTGTTCCTCATCTCTCACTGAGTGCTCCTCTTCTCTCTGAGTGCTCCTCACCTCTCACTGAGTGCTCCTCACCTCTCACTGAGTGCTCCTCTTCTCTCTGAGTGCTCCTCACCTCTCACTGAGTGCTCCTCACCTCTCACTGAGTGCTCCTCTTCTCTCTGAGTGCTCCTCACCTCTCACTGAGTGCTCCTCACCTCTCTTGAGTATTCCTCACCTCTCTGAGTGCTCTTCTCCTCTCACTGAGTGCTCCTCTCCTCTCTGAGTGCTCTTCTCCTCTCTGTGAGTGCTCCTTTCCTCTCACTTAGTGCTCCCCACCTCACTGAGTGTTCCTCACCTCTCACTGAGTGCTCCTCACCTCTCTGAGTGCTCCCCACCCCTCTCTGAGTGTTCCTCACCTCTCACTGAGTGCTCCTCACCTCACTGAGTGCTCCTCTCTTCTCACTGAGTGCTCCCCACCTCACTGAGTGTTCCTCACCTCTCACTGAGTGTTCCTCACCTCTCTGTGAGTGCTCCTTTCTTCTCACTGAGTGCCCCTCACCTCTCTGAGTGCTCCTCACCCCTCTCTGAGTGCTCCTCACCTCTCTGTGAGTGCTCCTCACCTCTCACTGAGTGCTCCTCACCCCTCTCTGAGTGCTCCTCACCTCTCACTGAGTGCTCCTCACCTCTCTGAGTGCTCCTTTCCTCTCACTGAGTGCTCCTCACCTCTCTGAGTGCTCCTCACCCCTCTCTGAGTGCTCCTCACTTCTCTGTGAGTGCTCCTCACCTCTCACTAAGTGCTCCTCACCCCTCTCTGAGTGCTCCTCACCTCTCACTGAGTGCTCCTCACCTCTCTGAGTGCTCCTTTCCTCTCACTGAGTGCTCCTCACCTCTCTGAGTGCTCCTCACCCCTCTCTGAGTGCTCCTCACCTCTCTGTGAGTGCTCCTCACCTCTCACTGAGTGCTCCTCACCCCTCTCTGAGTGTTCCTCACCTCTCACTGAGTGCTCCTCACCCCTCTCTGAGTGTTCCTCACCTCTCACTGAGTGCTCCTCATCTCACTGAGTGCTCCTCACCTCTCTGAGTGTTCCTCACCTCTCACTGAGTGCTCCTCACCTGAGTGCTCCTCATCTCACTGAGTGCTCCTCACCTCTCTGAGTGCTCCTTTCCTCTCACTAAGTGCTCCTCACCTCTCACTCAGCTCCCACATTGTGCCCAACTGGGCACCATCCAGACGTGAGCCTGTTGTTTTCACGCGTCTGTTGGCCGTGCAGCTTCCTCTTCTGCTGATGAGCGTTTTCTCCATGGCGTGTTTTAAGTCACGTGGCTTGTCTTTTATCTTGTTATTATTTTTTTGTCTGAGTTATGGGATTAATAACCGCTGGCACTGCTTGTGACACAAGAACTTTGCATGTCACATACTGCACTATTTTTTTGTCTTTTGCTGAATAAGGGGAGCCCATTTAAAAAAAGATTTATCTGTCTATCTGTTTTCGGAAAGTCAAATATACAGAGAGGAAAATCTCCCATCCATTGATTCACTCCCCAAGTGACCACAACAGCCAGAGCTGAGCTGATCCAAAGCTGGGAGCCTCAAGCCTCTTCCGGGTCTCCCATGCGGGTGCAGGGTCCCAAGGTTTTGGGCCGTCCTTGACTGCCTTCCCAGGCCCAAGCAGGGAGCTGGATGGGAAGCATCCGGGATTAGAACCGGCGCCCATATGGGATCCTGGAGCATGCAAGGTGAGGACTTTAGCCACTATGCTACCACACTGAGCCCAGAGGAACTCATTTTTTAATTTTTTTAAAGATTTTTATTTATTTATTGGAAAGTCAGATATACAGAGAGGAGGAGAAACAGAGAGGAAGATCTTCCATCTGTTGATTCACTCACCAAGTGAGCGCAATTGCCGATGCTATGCCGATCCGAAGCCAGGACCCAGGAACTTCCTCCAGGTCTCCCACACGGCTACAGGGTCCCAAGGCCTTGGGCCATCCTCGACTGCTTTCCCAGGCCACAAGCAGGGAGCTGGATGGGAATTGGAGCTGCCGGATTAGAACCAGCGCCCATATGGGATCTCGGCATGCCGCTGGGCCCGGGGAACTCATTTTTAACTTTAATGTCAAATGTACTCATTTTTTTTTCTCTGCATGATTTGTGAGTGTTTAGTTTTAAGAAATATCTTTAAGTAAGTCTTTCCTTCCCTGTGGGAAGTGAAGGCGTTCGTTGTGCCGTCCCTCTTTCTGACAGCACACCTGAGTGTGCGGAGGGGGTGTGAGAATCAGTGAGCAGCCGGGGGGCACCTGCACAGGGGCAGAGATGGCCTTCTCTACGCTACGGTTGGTGTGATTTGGGAACTGAGTAACAAGTAGAGTCACTCCGGGTACTGCATACATCTTTTCCATCCCCATGAAATGGTGCCTGGCCAGAGGATGCCTGGCTGCACGGTGCCTGGCCAGAGGGTACCTGGCTGCACGGTACCTGGCAGTGGTGGTGATGAGATGCGTTTGGCCTCCACCTGCAGGTGAGCTCATTGCTGCCCATCCGCGCGTGCACCTCCCTGCTGTGTGGCCATGACCTGAGTTAGAGCCCAGCCCTGCTCTGTGCTTCCTGTCAGTTATTAGAAACGCGGTCAAGCATTTTTCTCTTTTATCTGGATCCAAGAATGGATAAAAACAAAATTAAGAAATGTAAGGTTTTCAGGTGGACAAGTGTTGTACTTCCTGCAAGAACGCTCCTCCTTTCATTTGAGAACTTGATCTTGCAGTTGGCAGCTGCCCTGGGCGTGGCCGCAGGTGTCTGTGCCCTCAGGAAGTGACTTAACATTTCTGGGCATCCATTTCAATTTGGGCTTCGTTTGTGAAGGGTTAGTAATGCTAGGTATCTGAGTGCTCCCCTGTAGTGAGTGCTTTTTCCTTGTTAGATAAATTGAGGTGGTTTGTGCTTTCCTAGTTCTCCATTTATGTTATTGTGTTAAGAAGTTACCAGGAGAAAGAGTTGTAATGAAATGTCACCATTGTTGAATGGCACGCATTGAGGTTTAACATGCAAATCTGTCCATTCCTTATGCAGCTTCCGCCCTATGGTGGGACAGTGCTGTGTGGCAGCCGGGCTGCGGATGAACCACCTGATGGTAAGCCACTTCTCCCGGGGATTCCCTGCCGCACGCATTCAGCCACCTGAGCTGGGTGGGCTGGCTGCCCCCAGTGCTCATCCGGACCTCAGATATGTATTTCCTTGGAGCTTCAAGCCTGAGCCACTGAGTCACTGTGACTGCTGAGTCCATTTTAAAGCCAGTGGGGTCCCTCACAGTGCCAGGTGTGCATCTGGCCTCTGGCAGTGCTCAGCATAGCAGGCTCACATGCTCCTAAGTTGTCTCTGAGCTGTCCCTGGGGCCAAGGCAGGCGCACAACCGTGCTCCCTAGCTGCCGCTCAGAGAGCCGGGGCCAGCTGGGGGAAGCGTCGTTCCTGCCTGGCTCATTCACTGTGTTGGCTGCTGCTCTGGTGGTCCCTGGCACTGGCCTGGAGCTGGACACTGAGGTCCATGGTCGCGAGGCAGTTGCACCTGTCTCGGATGTTTTTCAGTCCAGATTGCTCTCATGGCCCTGGCAGGCTTCTGAGAAGCTGCACGCTGAGCATTTGCCCTGGGAGCTAGAGAACTGGACTCCGTATGGGGTGGGCGTGGCCAGATTGGTGAGAGAAATCTTCACTGTAGTTACGTTTAAATACGTCCCTTGAGGACATTAGCCATATTCCTGGCTGTAGCTACAGTTATCAGCAGCTTCCTGAGAAACGAATGCTGTGTCATACAGAAAGAGCAGGTGTAATCGTAGTTAGGGCAAGCAGTAAAAGACTCCTAGTCCCTGGGCGCTGGGCTCCTGAGCTGCTGCCCCGCTGTGTGAGGGACCCACTGCCCCCGTGCAGGCTGGCGGTAGGCTGGCTGGTAGGCTGGCTGCAAGCGTTCCTTCTCTGCTCCCCACCTCCACACGGTGGCGCCACCACTCCTGGTCCCTCCACCCTGGTGCTGTCCCTTCCCAGTCACTGCTTTCCTGGCTCTTCCCTCAAATCCATGTTGTGTTTTGCAGAGAAACCAGCTGGAGTCGGCTGCCTGCTTGCTAAGGCAGCAGGCCCCTTTTCTCAGAAGCCCCAGTCCCCGTTGCCTAGGCTCTCTCCTGGCCTGGGGCACAGCATCCGGGGGATGGGTGATCGCAGAATGTGAGACAGATGGGTGGCCCTGGGTGTAGTAATAATCCATTGTCTTTGGTGATTTTCTCTTCTGTTGGGGCTTTGGGTGTAAGCTTTGCCTTGTTCTTGGGGATCACGTCTGTTGTCCAGGGACTCTGTGCTGTTTGGAGCTAGAGTCTCCTTCCCCAGGCCCTGGGGCTCAGGACGCTGCCCCCTCGTCTTTTCTTCTGCAAGGAGGTGCTGTGCTCTGGGTGTTAGGATTCCTTTCTTGAAATGTGTCCCTTCAGAACAGATGAATCACCTGCCTAGCCTGCAGTCGTGTGTTACAAATACACTCTGAGGATTACTCCCAGTCCTTAACTTCAGGTATAAGGCGCCCTGGAGGCGGGGCATCTGGTGACTCAGCTGATTGGGTGCTGCCCCTCCTGTCTGAGATGGCAGCATGAAGCATGCCCGTGTCGCTGTGACTGGAATGCCGGGGGTGGCCATGCAGTCCCAGTCTTGAGCTTCTGTCCTAGTCTGTTGGAGAGGGTGCCCCTGCCCTGGCCTGGGAGTTGTTGGAGTGGACCTGGCCGTGGATCTCGTACGGCAGGCTGTTTGTGCAGCAACGCCCCCCAGCCTGGCAGCGAGCGCCCACTGCCATGCCTGAGGCCGTTCCGGGAGGGGTTTCCACGCTGTTGGCTTCCTACTGTAGCACCCTTGGTATTGTGTCTGCCCAGAGGCCAGGATTCACCCAGGCTTCCGGTTTCCATGTCTGCACGTACACGCGGTTTGCAGTTAGGATTTCAGCAAGGAGGTGAGAGTGCACGCTTCTCAGCGCTGCTCACTGATGGCGTTTTCTGTGAACCGTTTCTCCTTCCCAGGACAAGACTTTCAGAGAATTGAGTTTGGCGTCAACGAGGTCATGGAGCCCGGTGGTTCTGTGCCAAGAGCCCCCAGCTGCAGCATCGCGAGCACACTGAACCCTCAGGCTCCCGAGTTCATTCTCGGGTGTCCGGCTTCCAGCAAGAGCCCCGAGGACACAGACAAGGAGGTTAGCTACAGCACTGCCGGCTGCCCATCCCTGGATCCTGCCCTGGCTCGCGGTCCTCAGCTGGAGGCAGATGCTTGGGAAAACGATGGTGGCCCTGGCGGTCTTGGACAGAGGGAGCGCAAAAAGAAGAAGAAACGGCCTCCTGGATACTACAGTTACTTGAAAGATGGTGGTGAGGCTGGTGTTTCCACCGGAGCCCTACTCAACGGCCACGCCGACTCCACGCTCCCAGACAGCGTGGGCCCAGAGGATGCTGAATTTATGGGCGAGATGCTCCCACCGCTCACGGCCAGGACTTGTCCCAGCCCTCAGAACTCCACAGACTGTGTCGGTGACACTGTGCCAGGCGGCCCTTTCCTTGGGGTGCTGGGCGGCGACACCAGGACTGCAGGGCAGCCCGAAGGGCACCAGGGGACTGCTTGTGAACAGTCGTGCCTGCCTGTGGAGGCTGGCAGAGACAGCCTTGGAAGGACAGCGGGGGGTCAGCCCTATCCTGGTACTGAAGCTACTGAAAATAGACAAATACTTGAATCGCTGGGGGAAGGCCCAGCTGCCAACGGGCTGGAGGTGCACGCTGGCGGGGACATGGACTCAGACGCAGCCACGGCCGAGAGCTCTTGTCCCTCTGCCGACTGTGCTGTGTCTGTGGCGGGCGCCACTGCTGCCAGCCAGCCCGCCAAGTCCTGGGCCAGTCTCTTCCGTGACTCTAAGCCCTCTCCCTCCTCGCCTGTGGCCTATGTGGAAGCCAAGTATTCCCCGCCTGCCACGTCCCCGCCGGTCTCTGAAAAGCAGGTTGAAGTCCAAGAAGGACTTGTTCCAGTGTCAGAGGATCCTGTAGCCATGCAAATTGCAGGTATAGTTAACAGGTGCCCGTCACAGTGAAAGCGCCAGGAGTCTCTGGGTGAGGAATTGCAGAATGTCTGTGCTTGAAGGGCCTGGCTGTTAGGATGGATTCCTGAAGAATGTCAGGATGTAGTGACTGACCTTTGTTTTGAGGGAAAAATCTGAGTTTCTGATGAGCCCTGTTCTTTTGGCAAGCCACGTATCCATTTTGTGCATTTCTGATCTAGTGACTGTTCCACTGGTATGTGGAGTGCCCCTGTGCCCTGCGGGGCCAGCCGTCAGCTGCTGTGGACAGGATGAGCACCACCCCGTGTCTTTTTCATATTCAGATACAAGGAGTCATTTTATGAGTAACGTAGAGCTTTTCCTTTGCTCAGTACCTATTTTATATTGTATTTGTATTGAGCAATTAGATTTCATTCAGCTTTTAGCACACCCGAGTCAGCTATTAACAGGAAAAGAGAAATGATGAGTTCAGCCAAAGTTAAAATTTTATTTTGAAGTGTTAAGCATCTGAAGTGAGAGCAGTCTCCAATAACAATACAGAGCTGCCTAGTTCCAGGCTATTTGTAAGTGAAAGAAAGAGCTAGGAGTACAGAGTTTCTTAATTCACAGCTTGGTAAGAGGAACCCCAAGTTGGGAGCTGTGTGCACCCCAGAAGCAGAAGCTCACTCCCCAGGAGCTTCTCTGGGTGGCTGGGCTCCCTCCAGGGCCCCTCCGGCGACTGTGCAGCCAGGGCAGGACCAGGGCCCCTTCAGAGACAGGATGGCTTTGGGTCACAGTAGAATGACAATGTGCAGTTTTTTCCAAAAAGAGCTTTTATGTCTATACAAAATGTAATGTTCTGAAGTTCTAAAATGAGAAAGTAGTCAGTAGGCTGTGCAGCTGTTTGGTCTTCACATGCAAGCATTTTAATTTTGTATTTTATTTTTTAAAGATTTGTTTTATTTGAAATGCAGAGTTATAGGCAGACAGAGAGAGCTCTCCCAGCCTCTGCTTTGGGAACTAGCTGGTCGCACTGGTCAGGACTGAGCCCCTCCAGGAAGGGGCCAGGAGTTTCCTCTGAGTTCTTGGGTGGCCGGGTAGGTGGAGGGGTCCAAGCACTTGGGCCATCCTCTGCTGCTTTCCCAGCTGGGATTTGAAGCAGTGCCCTGTGGGTGCTGGTGCTGCAGGCAGAAGCTTACCGTGCTGTGTCACTGTGGTAAATCCTACAGGTTTCTTAATGCGCCAAAGCGTCAATGATTTTAAGCAGCTTTTAACTAAGCGAAATTCTAGTTCTCTTGGAAGATGTGTTGGTGGTAGGACAGTAGGTTCTAACTGGTTCTCTCGTGGTTAACATTCTGTGTGTTAACTTTGGGGAAAGAGGGAGACAGGAACAGTGCCGACACCAGATCCATTCTTTCAAATCAAGTTCTTTGATTTTCAGCTGCCTTCATTTCTGGATCATTTTTTCTATCACTGAGTCTGCTTAGTAAATGCCAGCCAATTTTTGTATAACCAGAAGTCTAAAACAAATTAGAGAGACAAAATCACTTTAGAGGCAGCGGCGGTGCACTCTGGCCGAGTCTTTAGCACGCCTGGACCTTGCCAGTGGTTTGTCCAGCTGGCTCCTACATGCCAGGAGGCGCTGCACCAATGTCTTCTGTGGGTGTGGAGAGCTGGCGTGAGGCGTTGGGTTCCTGGTTCATGTGCAGGGAGAGGACTGATTGGCATTTGCCCCGTGGAGTAAATGAGTCGGGTGAGAAGAGGAAATGTGAAAGGCTTGGAGACTGCTGTTTGACGCTGGCTGTGCCACACCTGCACCCTCGGGCCTTGCTGCCCCCAGTGCCCTGCAACCCAGTGCCCTGCGCACAGTGAACTCTGAGGTTCAGACTTCTGTGGGAATGTGTCATTTTCCAGATCCTTTGAAGTCACAAGTAGAGCTGTGTGGTTTGATTGCTTTGCTGTTAAAATCATGCATCAGCAGCATGCTTTGTTGTAAAGCAGTATAAATAATGCCAGGTGAGGAGTCTGGGCCAGATGCCCGTGTAAAATACTGTTCCAGTGAGCAGGAGCTAGGATTTGTGCTGTTAGACTGTGCCACACAGGAGTGGCACTGCGTGTCCAACCCACTGCCTGCCCAATAGCCATTCCTGGGCACAGCGGCACTGCCTGCAAGTTGACCTTGGTGTGAGGAGTGACTTCATGTCCACACTTCCGTCTTGGGGTGCAAGTGAAAGCGCACCCTAAGACTGGTGGTGTTTGAAGGGCTTGTGAATCAGTGTGGCCTTCCTCTGACTTTGGAAGTGATTCCTCCTCAAGCTGTGAAGTCAAGAAGGCCATGGTCCTGTAGGCTGCTCTGGTGGCAGGATTCTGAATGTGTGGGTTGGACATGCAACCCCTGGTGGACGGGCTTGTTCATGTCCTTGCTCCTTCTGTGTCTGAATGGAGGGTAGCCTGTGGGTGGTGGGGTGTTTTGGTCACTTTGCTGTGCTCCACCTGGTTAGGTAACAGGTAGCAGGTATTCCTCCAAAGTGATGGCAGTGAGGAAAGAGACACTCAGAATGTTGTGGCAGGGTGATGCCAGACGATGTAGGTTACGGCCAGCCAAGCTCTCTGCATCTGGGTGTTTCATGGACGTCAGTGCTGTTATACCCTCTGCATTCTAATTTTAAAACAAAACATGAATCACTTGTAAAAGTAATTGTAGCTGGTGGGGGGTTGCAACGGTGGCATTTGGCATAGCAGTTAACGTGCCACTTGGGCATTGCATCCTTATCTGAGTGATTAGAGTCAAGTCTTGACTAGGATTCCAGCATCCTCCTAAAGTGTGCCCTGGCAGGCAGCACAGAGGCCTGGCCGAGTTCACCCTTCCAGGAGTGAACCATTGGATGGGAATAGATCCACCCTACCTCTCTGCCCTCTTACCCATTCTCACCCCATCTCCTGTTGTGTCTCTCTCTCTGCCTCTCAAACAAACAGAAAGTAAATAATATTAAAACAGTTAAAAAAGAATAATTTGGGGCTGGTACAATGGCTTAACAGGCTAATTCTCCAGCTCCAAGTATCAGCATCCCATGTGGGCACCGGTTCTAATCCCGGCTGCTCCACTTCCCATCCAGCTCCCTGTTTGGGGCCTGGGAAAGCAGTCAAGGACAGCCTAAAGCCTTGGGACCCTGCACATGTGTGGGAGACCTGGAAGAAGCTCCTGCCTCCTAGTTTTAGATTAGTTCAGCTCTGGCCATTGCCGTCATTTGGGGAGTGAACCAGTTGATGGAAGATCCTTCACTGTGTAAATCTGCTTTTCCAATAAAAGAAGTAAATCTTAAAAGAAAAGAAAGAAAAAAACAATCTCATAGCTTTTGTTGACCTGAAGGTTTCTGTTGCCAGCGTTGCTGCTGGATAAACGGGTCCTGAGCGGTGGGAGCCTGGCACATGAGCTCTGTGGGAGGCTGAGATGGGGTGCGGGGGACACAGCCCTGCGGAGCTCTGAGTGACAGTAGATGCTACCAGGAAGCTGAACTTGAAAACGGCCTTTTGAAAGGTTTGAGCTGTTGCAACAGTGAAGATACTGGTTAATTTATGTCATTTCTGAGTCATTCTGGAGTTCTGTGCCATTACGACATTGCTCCAGATGGCCCCACAAGTGTTGGGGGAAACGGGCCAAAGCTGCTTCCTAGAGCTGGATGAGTAGGAAATTACAGGAATAGTGTGGAAGGGAAGGCTTTGGGGTGTGGTGGGTCACTCCAGGAAGCTCCTGCTGGTTTGCCCTGGAAGAAGGAGAAAGAGGTGGGCCACCAGTGGAGGAGCTGGTTCCTGTCTTCCTCAGAGTCCGGCTCCCCCGTGCTCCCCGGCTCTGTCCTATCTGAGTCGGGTTGAGGCAGTTCCTGCAACTGGTCCTTCCTCGGGAGAACGGGCCGCCCATATTGCCTCTCTGGAGCGTGGTTCTGCAGGCTCAGGAGCAGTGTGTGGGTGGAGGTGATGCTGGCCCAGAGGGACGCGGGAAGGCTGCGAGTGCTGCCTGACTTGCGGTTCACCACTCTGAGCACTGGCTCCTGATCAGGAATTGTCAGCTCCAGGCCGGGGCTCCTTCCCGGCTAGCTCTCGGCTGCAGGTGTCTGGCTCATTCTGTGGTTGTTGAAATATGTAGATGAAAAAGGCTCCATGTGTAGGCCTTGTCACAAAACTAGGCCTGCACTTTTCTAGATGTTTGGATTTTGAGAGAAAAGCTTAGGCAATAACTTTGAATTTCTAAAAATCTTTCCTTTTTGAGTGGAATATTACTAATGTACATTTCCAGCATATTCATAGCTTTTCAAGTTTTAAGAAATTTAAGTTAACGTTTGTCTGGGAATGCTGGAACAATTGGTTTTCTCCAGCTCTTGTCCGGTGAGTTCCCTCTCCTGCCCCATCTGTCCTCTAGTGGTGAAGGGGCGTCTGCAGTGAGCTGGCCCATGCAGGAGGAGGCTGGAGCGGCCCACCTCCCACCTCCCACGGGCTGCCGACTGGCAGCCCAGGTCCTCCTGTAGCCATGGCTCTTGCCAGGGGGGTCCTCTCAGGCACTGTGGCCTTGGCAGTCTCTTGGGCCTTTCCTAGCCAGCTGGAATGGTGCCATTGCCACAACCAGCATTTTGCTTTCCCAATGTTTCTTTCATCTGTCAACTACCTACTAAGCAGAGCCATGCACTTCTGTGGAAGTGAATGATGTCCGGTTTGCTGGAAGGGTGGGCAAAGGCCCAAGGAGAAAGAAAGGAGCAGATTGAGGCTGGCGTCCAACGTGGACACCTGCTCCTGTGCAGCGATTCCACTTCTGATCCAGCTTCCTGCTGATAGCCACAGGAAAGCAGAGGGAGATGGGCCAATCCTTGCCCGCTCCACCCTCCAAGTGAGACCCAGATGAAGCTCCTGGCACTAGCTGTTGCCATTTGGGGAGTGAAACAATGGATGAAAGACCTCTCTCTGTTAACTCTTTCAAGTAAAATATATCTTTAAAAAAGAGAAAGACAAGATAGGTAGCCCCTTAGCCGCAAGGGGAGTGAGCACTTTGAGAGAGGGGTGTGTGGGGAGACCCTGCAGTCCCCAGCGGGGCTGGGCATGCTGCCACACAGTTGGCTGTGTGGGCTCCTGGTTAGGGCCTGCTGTCCAGGAGGTGCCACCAATACATGGCACACGGGAGGCATGCTGTGGCGAGGGGCTGTGGGGTCAGCCAGGCCTGCTCTGAGGGTGGGGTCAGCACCAGGAGTGGGTGCTGATGACCTAGAGGTTTATGGAAAACATGCCCCTAGAGTAGCAGTAATCAAGTGAGGCCTGGACCCTTCGGCTGTCCTCTGTGTGGAGATGTTGTCTACATTTAAGAATGTTGTACCAGAGGGTGCTTTGAAAGAATGCTGAACACTCAACAAGGTCCTGGCCAGTGATGCTCCAGTTGTGTCTGTTGCATCGGGTGTTTCTGGGCCCTGGCTGTTGGGTTTGGTAGAACTGTGTCTATGTGGCCTGTTGTCATCAGACCTCTAGGTGGCGCTCAAACACTGACCCCCAACACTGGGCAAGAGATTGTTATTTAGATTCATTTGTTTTCATTGGAACGACAGATCAGATTTACAGAGAGAATGAGAGACAGAAAGATTTTCCACACAGATGGCAACGATGGCCAGAGCTGAGCTGATCCAAAACCAGGAGCCAGGATCTTCTTCCGGGTCTCCTGCATCGTGCAGAGTCCCAGGCTTTGGGGCTGCTTTCCCACAAGCAGGGAGCTGGGTAAGAAGTGGAGCACCTGGGACAGCTGCCCGATGGGGACTGAGCCAATGAGCCATTGCGCCATTGCGCCGGCCCACATTCTTTCTACCTGCACGCTTCCTATCCTGGTCCCTGGGGCCGGAATCCGTTTGAGGTAAGGGCTGAGTCGTGCACACCATGTCCCATGTGTGGGAGGGCAGTCAGTGCGTGCCGACTGGGGGCTGCTCTCTGGTCCCACCACAGGCCGTAAGGACCTGAAAGGACTTTGTTCTGAGGCTGCTCTAGCAGCCAGTTCTTCACTATTCCATAGTTGATTAAATTGGTTATTATTTAATTTATTTAATTTGCTTTAAAAGCAGAGTTGCAGAGAGGTGTTGGAGGAGTATAGAGAGAAAGAGGTCTCCCATTCACTGGTTCACTCCCCAGAAGGCTTCAGTAACCAGGGTTGGGCCAGGCCAGTGAGCTTCCTCTGAGTCTGCCACATGGAAGGCAGGGGCCCAAGCACTTGGGCCATCCCCTGCTGCTTATCTAGGTACATAAGCAGGGCATTGGAACGGAAGTGGAGCAGCTGGGAATCGAGCCAGTTCCTTTTTAGAATTCTGGCATTGCAGGCAGTAGATTAGCCTGTTAAGCCTAACCACTGGCTCTCCAGGTGATTTGTTTAAAATAATTTTTTAAAGACTTATTTTTATTGGAAGAGTCACATGCTGCCCCCAGGAATGACTATCTTCAAGCGCTGGCTGCAACTTATGCCTTCTCTTCAACCCTGTCCCTCCCACAGAGAAAATCAGGAACTGGTGTGCCTGCCCTGCCCTCCCCTTGCCCCGTGGGCCTCCCTGAGCCCTGCACTTGCTGCTGGCTGTCCTTACCTCTGGCCTGGTTCCTCTACTCTAGGTGTAGTCCCTGAAGCACGGTGCTTCTGTTCTGTTGAGTCTGAATACACCCTCCGGTAAGCCTGAGCCTCCCAGCAGCATCTCTGAAATGAAAATCATCTGGTTGCCACGTGAAAGCAAAAAGTGACTGGTGCGTCCCGCTGGGCTCTGGCCAGGGAGTGCCCCCGCGGGCTCTGATGTCCCTCCGTGCTGTTCCTGCCACCCTGGACCAGGCTGCACAGCCTTGGCTGCTCCTGGCAACAGGCCTGCACTGTGCTGTGTGGAGCTGGCGACATCATGGTTGTTCTGCTCTCTGCTCGGCCAGCCTGCCTGCAGCCTGGCTGCGTGAAGGCTGCCGGCCCTGTGTTGAGAGTGCCCTTGTCGGGGAGGCAACTGGCTCGAAGCCCCTGTTGTTTCAGAGCCTGGCTGCTCTTAGCATGGTAGATCTATGCACGTCACACTGCTCAGGGACATTACGCCCTGGCATCTGACCCGACCACATTGGGCACTCAGTGGCAGCGCTGCAGAGGCTTGCCACTCTAGATTGTTGCTAGAAACTGTGTTAAATGATTACCTTTCTGTAACTCCCCGGACATGAAAGGCTGTGCTGTAGTGGTAGTGAAGTGGTAGTGAAAGCCTCTTGGAGGTGGAAGATCCCAAGTCTAGACATGAGTCGGCATCTGGAGCCTGCTGCTGGAGCTGGAGTCGCTTACGTCTTGTGAGGAAGGAGCAGGCTGGCCCAGGCAGCAAGCCACATCTCTGCACAGCCTCTGTTGTCTCCCCTGTAATAGGGAGACGTTCTTTGACAAGCTGGTTCCTGTGGCTGTGAATGGTGCAGATAAGGCTGGGGTCGCAGGATTACTGTGGTGCCAGGGGCTGACTGCCTCCTCTGACTTCATTCCTTCTGGTGGGTCCTGGACTGTGTCCATGCAGCAGAAGGAAGCGGCCAGCTGGTTCTCAGTGGATGCTGTGTGGGCTTCGTGCACCTGCATGCTCCTGTTTTTTGTGAGGACGAGCCATGCGCCATTTCTGCCTCTGGTTCCTCACTTAGGGAGAGGACACTCGGTGCACCAGGAAGGGGTGTGTGTGTATGTGTGTGCATTTGGATTCTGGAACCTGTTTTTATTTGACTTGATTCTGGGACCTGGCAGTTAAGCACTGCTTTGGAAGAGCAAGGCTTTAGTGTGAGTCAGTTGCTAGATGACTGCTGACTCCACGGACATTCCCACTTAGTTTGGCTCTCTACGTGATCTAAAAGCAAGGGAGGCTGTGTGCTGGGCCTCTGCCTAGTGCCTCTGTGATCGGGCCAGTTAGCTAAGCTGAGCAAAGTCTCAGCGTGCTTGTTGGTCCAAGGAGAATGGTGGTGGCACTCCTCATTGTGTTAAGCGTTATGTCCTGACAGTTAACTGCTGGGGGATGCAGAAGCACACCAGGTGTGTCCTGGGACTTGTCATGGGATGTGGAGTCAGTCTGGGAAGACAGTGCTCACAGCTGTGGAGGTGGCGACGAAGGGCTGCTGGTGGCTGGGGCGCATGAGTCACAGCTTCTTTGCAAATGGCACGTGGAATTAGGGCACAAGCACGCGCAACAGTGGCCGTGCCATGTACCATAGACACCTGTCCGTAGAGGAGTGTCCCTGCCTCCTGGGCAAGCCCTCTGTGGCTAGGTGGGCACCACACTGGTTGGGAGGAGTTGCAGGATCCACTGGTCAGCCCTGTGTACTTCCCGTCTGAGGGACCTTGTCCTTGAGGCACCACGCACATTCTCTGTACTGATGCATTGTTTTTAAACCTGTGTGTTTGGAGAAATATTAACATGAAAAAGACTTTGAGTTCCTGAATGTCACAGCTGCCACTGATGAGTGATGTCACAGATGAGTGGAGCCTTTTCTTGTTTCACTGAGGGCTGTTAACACTGCGGTGAGGGGAGCCTGGGAATTCAGTGGAACTAACCTCACAAATATGCTTCTTCATTCTTTCAGAGTTACTGGAGAATGTAACCCTGATCCATAAACCAGTGTCGCTGCAACCTCGTGGGCTGATCAATAAAGGAAATTGGTGCTACATCAACGCTGTATCCTTCCTGGGTGCTGAGCGCTAGGCCACCTGCTGGCTCATTCCCTGGTTCCCTCCTTCATCCCTGACCCCAGCTTTTCCCACCCCCGAAAGAAGATTTGTTGACATGTATGTATCAGGCACAGCAGGTTTTGTTCTCATGATAGTGACGTCCGGTGACAGGGCAGTGCCCACTCACAGCAGAGGCTGTGTTGCGCTGACCTGGTTGTGTGATGGAGTTGTGGATGGATGGCCCTGCGGCTGTCCTGGGGAGTTGGGCTTGTGCTCCCCACGTCACATGCAGACTGTGCTCTGTGGCGTGTGCCTGGGGGACATGGGGTGTGTCGGTTCTGTCTCCTTCACGCTTCCTTACGCCGGCACTCAGACACTGCAGGCCCTGGTCGCTTGCCCCCCAATGTACCACCTGATGAAGTTCATTCCCCTGTACTCGAAGACACAGAGGCCCTGCACGTCCACCCCCATGATAGACAGCTTGTAAGTAGAGGGCGGGGTTTCTTTTCATGAGCCATGCTGTTTCAGTGGCGTAGGGATGCTTTTGATTCCCCTGTGAATGAATTCTGGCCTTCTATTATTAGAGATATGCTAACCATGATTTTGTATGGCAGTTAATTATAAATGGAATTAGAGCTTTATTTATTTGTATTCTTCACATTTAGTGGAAAATATTTCAGTGTTTGCTTAAAATATCACTAGAATATATAAAAAATATATATAGAAAAGATTTTAAAATGCAGTAGCTATTATAGCATTGGCTGCTTAGAGTCTGCGGTGCTCCTGCGGGTGGATGTTCTGTGTCGTCGGTCTGTCTTATAAAATGCACTACTTGGTGTCTTTCCCTGTGTTCAGTGTTCGGCTGATGAACGAGTTTACCAACATGCCAGTCCCTCCAAAGCCCCGGCAAGGTGAGGCCAGTGCGCGCTGGGGGTGGTGGAGCTGGTGCCTGGGGCGGCCCTGCGTGGAGGAGCAGGGCTCTGGTGGCCTGGCTTCTGTGCTCTGACCCCTCTCGTTGAGCCCGTGTCCCTCTCCTTTGCAGCTCTTGGGGAGAGGATGGTGCGGGATCTGCGCCCCGGCGCTGCCTTCGAGCCCACCTACATCTACCGACTCCTCACCGTGCTCAAGTCCAGCCTGTCGGGCAAGGTCAGAGAGCCCAGACGGGGCTGCTGCCAGGGTGGCCAGGGCCCTCCTGCCCAGGGCTGGCTGATGGCATTTTGTGTGAGTGCCACGTGTTGTGGGGAGTGCTGGGTCAGGGCTGGAGTGAGTGTCCCTCGTCTCCTTATCGCGCAGAGTGGCGCGTGCGGCAGGCCCTTGACCACTGTGCTGTCCGGCCTCTCAGGTCAGTAGAGTGTGTGAGGCCCGAAAGGACGGGGATCCTCAGGACAGCTCTGTCCTTGTCACACTCGGGGCTCCACTAGAGCTCTCCAGCGCCCTTGAGCTCCCTAGCATTTGCTTGGCAGTGTGGAACAAGGAGGCCTTGGACTCAGGGTGCCCGGGGCTGCTCTGTGAAGCATTACGCTCCTCCTGGGTGGAACTGCTTACCCAGTGCTGAGAGGATGGTTCTGGGGACTCCCTCAGAGTGCTCTGTCCCCTGAGCCAGGCGTGAAGAGGGAGTGACAAGCGTCCGCAGCGCTCCTCCTGCCACTGAGTGCCCACTGTGGTCGGGCTGGGCAAAGGGGCTGATGGGAGAAGCATGAGAGAAATGAGCTGGGGCAGGGCAGGGCCAGGCAGGGCAGGGCCGGAGCCCCGGCCATCGTGCTTGACGGGGCGGAACCACACGGGCACTTGGGATCCCCTGCATGCTGTCTACTTTTTTTTTTAAGGTTAATTTATTGATTTGACAGTTAGAGAGAGGGGGGCAGAGACAAAGATTTTCCTATGGCTGGCTCACTTCCTAAGTAGCTGCACTAGCCAGGCTCAGTAAGCTAGGCCGATGCCAGGACCCTTGGGCCATACTCTTCTCCTTCTCCCAGGCTGTTAGCAGGGAGCTGGATCAGAAATGGAGCAGCCAGGATGGAAACAGCGCCTATATAGGGCACCAGTGTCACAGGGTGGTGGCTTTTGCCGCTGTGCCATAATGTCTACCACATGTGTCATCTGTCAGGGATCCCTGTTACAGCTTAGTGCCCTGGCTTTGTGGGGAGCAGGTTCTTGCTGCTTCTGCTTTGCTCCCAGAAGGAAAGCCGGCCTTCAGTGTTAGCCACAGGCTTGCACACGCGCTAGGCACGGTCCCTCAGAGTTCTCGGGGGTGGCAGCAGCCCTCCTGAACTCCATGTATCCAGATGGAGGCCTTCCCAGGGAGGGCTGGGCAGCCGTCTCGCCGTGCTTGCGGTCCTGGGTAGAGAGGACAGTAAGCCCTGGCCTGGCAGCTAGGAATTCCCAGATCCAGGAGCCGGCAGTTCTGCTCTGAGGAGATAGCACAGATGCAGACAAGGCCAGGGCAGGATTGTGAAACGCGCGTGACTAATCCGTGCACAGCTCTGCTGTGTGTGCACGTAGAAAACGCTGCGTCATTGTTTTACCAGTTTATTCTTTGGAAAGGCAGCGTTTAACAGAGGGAGAGACAGAAATATCTCATCTGCTGGTTCACTTCTCAAAAGACCACCATGGCTAGGGCTGGGACAAGCCAAAGCTGGGGACCCTTGGAGGGCTAGAGCTCACATGTGCAGGCTGGTGTCTGCCACTTTGCCAGGCATGTTAGGAACTGGGTTGGAAGTGGAACTAGCAGGCGGGAAGCTGCTACACCGTGACCCTGGCCTGAATCACTGGGTGTTAAGTGAGTGCCTCCCCAAAGGAACCTGCCGTCCGAGAGGCAGAGGGAAGCGGGCTGTGGCTAAATGGCTGCCAGAGGCTGGCACTGGCATGGCCAGACACGAGAGCCACCACCTGGCTGCCTTTGCAGGCATGTTGCAGGCATCGGATTGGAAGCATAGTAGCCGGGACTTAAACTCGCCCTCTGTGGCCATGCCACACCAGCCTTTAACATTGTTTTTTTCAGTGTTTAAATAGTGATTGTGGGAAGTGTTGGAACTAGTAATAAGCAAAACTAAGATGAAAGTGGCGCTAGCTCCACGTGGAGAGAAGTGTTCCTTGCATTTCACCCCTTCTCTCCTGTCCCCAGGATCCCAGTTCTCCAGAGAGCTCAGCCAGCTCGTGGGAGTCCTTTCATGTGGTCGTGGTAAAGCTTCCAGTGAGGGCATAGGCTGAAGGTGCAGGAGCAGTGTGTCCTGCAGGCTGTAGACAGACGTGGCTGACCTAGTGTGTCTGTCCGCACCCCACAGGGCCGGCAGGAGGACGCTGAGGAGTACCTGGGCTTCATCCTGAACGGGCTGCACGAGGAGATGCTGAGCCTGAAGAAGCTCCTGGCGGCGCACAGTGAGAGTGAGTTGTCCGGGCTGCAGCGCCTGGGCCCTCTGCCCGGGGGGCTTTCACACGTGCCCCGCGCTTGTCTGTCAGGTTCTGCCGCTCCATCATCACTCCATAGTGTGGCACTGGTTGCTTTCCCACTGCCTGTCACACAGCACTTATGTAATTACACCTGAACACGCCGAGCACATAGGTGTTTTCCTCAAATGATCCCAGATTAAACCCTTCCATGGCAGAGCATGTGGCCTGAGGACAAGGATTCCCCCGGCACAAGGAAACCACACCGTAAGGGCATACCGTAGGTCACACTGTGAGGCCACATGGCGAGGGACACATGAGGCTGCACTGTAGGCCACACTGTGACATCATGACATCATGCCATAGGTCACAGCGTGACCCTGAGGCCAGTGCACACCCTGAGGCCAGCCTGTAGGTCACACTGTGAGGCCACATGGCGAGGGGACACGTGAGGCTGCACTGTAGGTCACACTGTGACATCATGACATCATGCCGTAGGTCACAGCGTGACCCTGAGGCCAGCCTGTAGGGCGTAGCATAGGTCACGCTGCTGCAGCCATACCATGAGGTCACATTATGAATGTACACCCTGAGGCCAGACTATAGGGCACATTGTGAGGCCATACCGTGAGGACACACGCTCAGGTCACACTAGGTCACACTCCTCATGCTTCTTAGAGAGCATCTCCTGTGGTGCTGGTACAGGCAGGTACCCAGGAAGCTGCCATCGACAGCCATGGCTCTGTGTGGTGCAGCCTGGTGTCTGTGAAGCCACACAGATTCTCTGTTTATTTTTGTCTTGCATGCTTCTTGATATGAATAGAGGCTTAAGCAGACTCTGCCTTTCAGAACTGGCCGTTCCCAACGGGCCCAAAAGCCAGCCTGTGAACCAGGAGCAGGAGGACGAAGGCGAAGGGAGTGAGGAGGAGTGGGAACAAGTGGGCCCCAGGAACAAGACGTCCGTCACCCGCCAGGCTGACTTCGTGCAGACCCCCATCACGGGCATCTTCGGTGGCCACATCAGGTGTGTGCTCCATGGGAACATCTGGCTGGGCTCCTGGACCTCCTGGTCTGCTAACCTCCCTTGCCCCTGGGCTGCTTTCAAGGCCACGCTGCTCTCCAGGGCAGCAGCCTTCTGTGAGTGACAGAAAAGCAGCCATTGAACTGCTTGTTGTGAAATCCACATATCTGCTTGAAGGATAGTGCAGCATCAGTGCAGCGAAGCCGAGTAGCCAGCCTGTGTGTGCACACACGTGTGGGAGTGAGGGTGACACGTGGCAGAAGTCCAGGCTCCTGGCTGGGCTAGTGCCTCCTGGCTGGGCTGGTGCCTCCTGGCTGGGCTGTGCTGTCCCGTGTCCTGTGGCTCCCGGCGCTCTTCCCAAACCCCACTTGAGGGATTTCTGGGTTTTGTTGTTGTTGTTTTGGTTTGCTTAAGACTTATGATTTATTTGAAAGGCAAAATTAGAGAGAGAGAGAGGATCTTCTGGTTCACTGCCCAAATTTGTGCAGTGGCTGGAGCTGAACCAGTCCAGAGCCGGAAGCTGCTTCTGCATCCCCACGTCTGTAGGGGTCAAGGATTTGAACTATTCTGTTTTTCCAGGCACATAAAGCAGGGAGATGAATGGGAAATGGAGTAGCTGGAACTCCAAAATGGTGCCCATATAGTATACCAGCACTGTAGTTCTAGTCCCAATTTCTGTCTAAGTATTGGATTTTTTTTTTTTTTTAAGATTTGTTTGTTGGGCCCAGTGTGGTGGCCTAGCAGCTGAAGTCCTCGCTTTGAACACGCCAGGATCCCATATGGGCACCAGTTCATGTCCCAGTTGCTCCAGTTCCCGTCTAGCTCCCTGCCTGTGGCCTGGGAAAGCAGTGGAGAACGGCCCAAGGCCTTGGAGGAAGCTCCTGGCTCCTGACTTTGGACTGGCTCAGCTCTGGCCGTTGCAGCCACTTGGGGATTAAACCATCAGACAGAAGACCTTCCTCTCTGTCTCTCCTCCTCTCTGTGTTTCTGACTTTGCAATAAAAATGAAATAAATCTTAAAAAAAATTTTTTTTGTCTGTTTGAAAGGCACAGTGACAGGATGGAAGAGGTAAAGCTCTTCCGCCTGTTGATTTCCTAGATGACTGTCCAGCCAACACCAGGAGCCAGGAGCCCCATCGTAGTCTCCTCCCTGGAAGCGGGGACCCGAGTACTTGGCTGTCCTCTGCTTCCTAAGAATCTTGACTTGTAGACACTTGTAAGCAGGCTGCAGCTTACTCGGTAACCAACGGTGCTATCTTACCCAAATTAGCTTTTTTGCTCCAATTTAAAGCAAAACTCCACAACCTCTTTGGCAACTAGTCAGGACCAGTAGGCATGGATACAGGCGCCGATAAGCACGGAGCGGATCTGGCTTGCTAATTAGCCTTGTGGTTACTAACTGTTGATCTTGATGCTCCTTGTCTCTGAGTGGGGGTTGGGGGACATTGGCACACTGTGTTTTTAAGAAATGGCTCTTTTAAATCCTTTTTTTCTTTTGTTGTTGTTTTTTTTATTTCTTCTTTTTAGTTCCTTTTTTTTTTTTTTTAAGGTTTACTTATTTTTACTGGAAAGTCAGATTTACCGAGAGGAGAGACAGAAAGATCTTCTGTTCGCTGGCTCACTCCCCGAGTAACTGCCATGGCTGGAGCTGAGCCGATCCGAAGCCAGGAGCCTCCCCAGGCTCCCAGGAACAGGAGTCTCCTGCTTTGGAATGGAGGGTTCCAAGGCTTTGGGCCATCCTCCACTGCTTTCCCAGGCCACCAGCTAGGACATGAACCGATGCCCATATGGGATCCTGGCGCATGCAAGGCGAGCATTTAGCCACTGTAATGGACTATAAAAAAATGGGCTCTTAACTAAGGCAAAGGTCAAGTTGAAATTTTCCCTTTGCCATAAACTCTAACAGGCACTGGCAGATGCCAGTGTCCCTGTGGGTGGCCCTGGGCCTGTGAGGAGCAGCTTGTTTTCGGTATGGGCTTATCTCCTTGAGCGTGGCGTCCTCCCGTCCATGCCCAATATGGACAGTGCTAGGAGTGCCTCCTTCCCAGGACTCAGAAATGCTGCGTTCTGCATGCTCGGGCCTCACAGCCTTCGTGCACAGCGTGTGTCAGGAACTGTACAAGTTTTGGAGGATTGGGAGGAGGCAGAGACACATCTCCCATCTACCTGACTTAGCTCCCCAAGTACTCGCAATGGCCATGTCCAGGGCGCTCTGCCTCCATGTGACTGCCAGCCTAACGGCGGGTCTCTTGTCTGTGTGCGGTCGTGGGCTCAGTCCCCAGAGACTGCCAGTGTGACAGGCTCATGAGGTGTGCTTCCTGGGCATGTGTCATGTGGGCGGGGTTGGCAGAGGTCTGGGGTGGTGAGCAGCTGTGTAGGGATCCTGCTCCCTGGGCCCATGGGACCCTCGCTGAGGAGGAGAGGGTGGTGGGGGGAGCTCATACTTGCAGACAGCTGGAGAGGTTGCAGATGGCGTGCATGCCCAGAGAGCCTGGACGAGTCATGGACAACCATCCAAAAGGACCAGAAGCCGCAGGTTCTGTCGTGGCTCCGGTCTCGGCCCCTGAGTGGCTTGTGTTGAAGAGGTTGTCGGGTTGCCTTTGGAAGAGTGGCAGTGCAGCCAGGGGAGCCCTTCTCATCTCCTGCTGAGTCACCAGCGTGGAGCTCCTGTCAGACCCGTGGGAAAGTTTTCTTCCAAGATTCCACTTTCCAGTCAGTTTTTGTTTGTGTTTTGTTTTTGATGCCTTCGGGACAAGAGGAGCACTTGATTTCTTTTCAGCTTTTGCTGCTGACTTTCCACTGTGACTTTTGGGAACTGTGGGACCTGGCAGCCCCCAGGTCTTTACACTTGAGGGGCTGTGGACAGGCTCAGTTGCACCTGGGCACAGGTGCTGGCTGTGTGGTCCTCACGATCTCCGTGGAGCCCTCTCCACCCAGGCCCCTCGCTGCAAACGGCCGTGTCACTCCCAGGCTGAAGGGGAGGAGCACAGCCGCTATGAAAATCCTGGGGGAAATGAAGTGCCTGGGCGGCTAGGGAAGCACGGTTGGGTTGACACCCTTCTTGGAAAGGCCGAAGCCTTTTCTGTTGGAATGTTAAGGGTTTTTTAATTGTACACACACTTTTCATTTTTTTGAAGGGGAAAAATGTCATTAAAAAAAATCTGCTGGTTGTCGGGATTTCCTCTGTTGTTAGACCAGCTTCGTACAGCCCAGGTCAGAGGGCATGTTGATTACCTAGTGCGGTTGGAAGGTGAATTGGTTATTTTTCCAGAACACGTGGGCTGGGGAATTTATAGCTTGATCTGTTGCTAGAAATATGAAGGCAATGGAATCTGGCAGAATTATTTTAAATTCAGGAATTGTTGACTTCTGTGTTCTCTGGTTTTCTGAGAGTAAAGATAAATAATCTTACTTTCAGTGTTTATTCCTCTGTTGGCTAATCTTAAGAGAAAATGGCAAGGGATGGTCTTTTGAGTTTTCTTGATTTTTTTTTTTAATTTTTAAATTTTTGATGATGTTTACATAGTTGATTAGGGTGGGAAGGGTCAAAGAATGGGGGAAAGTGGATGAGACTGTTGTTTCCCGATTTTGTTTTTCTTCTTTCTGTGCCTGGGGGACAGGGAGAGATAAGGGGAGAAGCTGTGTGGTAACCCCAATTGCCTCAGCATCCGGGAAGGGGAACGGGCACCAGATGTCATCCCAGGGTCCCCGTGGTGGGGCATGCCCCAAGGCTTCTGCATAGGTGGCTTGTATAGTTCTGAACTGCTGTCAGGTCTTGCCACTCCAAGAATGAGGAAATCCTTCCAAGGTCTATTGTCTGATACAGTCCACCTTAGGGTCTCCATTCACACGTATGTTTGCTGGGGTGGTTGACCAGTTTGTTCCGTCTTCTTTCCTCTATCTTGGTACCAAGGAATGCTCTTTTCAACTTTGCTTTCTCTCACTTGGCAGGTCTGTGGTCTACCAACAGAGCTCCAAAGAGTCCGCCACTCTGCAGCCATTCTTCACGCTGCAGCTGGATATCCAGTCCGATAGGATCCGCACGGTCCAGGACGCGCTGGAGAGCTTGGTGGCGAGAGAGTCGGTGCAGGGTTACACCACCAAGACCAGGCAGGAGGTACAGTGCCCGCTCATCCTGACGCCAGGCTGCTGAGTTCCCGCAGCTGCTGAGCTCGTGGACTGAGTGTGTTTTCAAAACAGTAAAAGTGGATGCTCCCAGCTATGTCTCTGTGTCCTGAGCTGCCTGTAAACTTCTGGCAGTCTAATCATGGCATTACAGCCCCTGCACTGTGTGGAACAGGCACAGTTCTTACTGGATTAATCAGGACATGAAAAGAGGTTCTAGGCACAGCAGTGTTGTGTGTGATTACAGATCTTCAAGGGCATTGCTGATGCCTGTCACTCCCCGATTTCCCAGGAGGAAGGCTCTCTTCCTCGCAGGCCTGGTGGCAGGTGTCCCTGTCGGCCGTCAGGCTGTGCTCTGAGGCCGTGGCATTCCCTGGCTGGCCTGGGGTGCCGCTCGGTACCTCTCTCTTCAGGAGCGAGTGTCTTCTCTGTCACATGTCGTACTATTGGCAGTGAATGCCTGGGGGAGGTGCATACGGGCAGGTTCTTGTGAGCAGTTCCTGCTGTTGCGGGCAGTGTGTGGTGGCTCCAGGGAGAAGAACAGCCCAGCCTGGGAGACCTGTGGCCACTCAGCCTAGGCACATATGCCTTTGGCTGTGGCTGTGGTATATGGGCGCTGGACACTGAGCCGGGCTCTCTGCAACGTCTATCACAATCCTCTGTGGTTTTCTGACTTGCAGCTCATGGGTGATTTTGTTTAAACAATAAAAGTGATCGGAGCTCAAGGCAAAAACCTGGCACTGGCCTAAGTGAGCAGGCGGAGAGGAGTCGGGCGGTGGGGCTTCGCTGGGCAGTGTCTGTCCATGGGCTTCCTTCCTTGGCTGCTGTCCCTGTAGCCTAGAGAGGCACGTTCCCGCACCAGCTCCCTCCTTGGTGCCTCTGGGTCTCTCCCTTTGGCCCTTGCTGCAGTGCCATTCAGAGTTGGCAGGGCTTGGAGTGGGGCAGACCTGAATCAGGTGCAGGTGGTGGCAGGCAGTCAGAGCGCTGGGAGGGCCATGACCTCCCCTTGACAGCAGGGCAGTGTGTGTATGTGTGTGTGTGTGTGTGTGTGTGTGTGTGTGTGTGTGGACACTCCACGAGACCTGGGGCACTTGGAAAGCAGTGTGTGAGAAGAGGTGTAAGTAACGTGTGTTTAATGTGACCTTTCTCACTTATTTGCTAAATCCTAAATTTAATTTTACTGTACTTTTAAGTCCAAATGAGAAGGAAAGCTTGTGAGAGAACATGACCATTAGAGTACCTGCTGTGTCTGACTGGAAACCCAAAATACACACTCGCACATATTGCATTAGCCATTGCATGAGTGGCTGAAGTTTAAAGTCAGATGCTAGATCTTGAAGTGCCACAAGGTGTGCTAGAGATGGCTTAGTTGCAGTGAGGGTGTGGAGCTGGTTGCTGGTGTGAGCAAGTGTGGAGGGAGAAGGGTTGGCTGCGTGGGGCTGGGGCTCACATGTGTATGTGCAGTGTCACGCAGGTTGGGTGTTGATACAGCAGCCAGCAAGAGTGACTGCGTTTGTCTTTGGAAAGCCTAACGGCCAGCACACGCCTCTCCTGCCGCTGCCCCGTGTTGGGTTTACCAGCCGGCATCTTTGCTGCTGTTGCTTTGTGGCATTTCCCGTGGTATAGTCTGGCAGCTGCAGGCTGTTTCTAGGCTTGGCGCGGAGCTGAGGGATGGTGCTTGGAGAGGCAGCCCTGGTGCTGTGGAGAACATCTGCGCAAGGAAGCTGCCTACCGGCGTCAGTGTCAGCCCTGCACAGGCAGGAGCTCCAGTCTGCGGGCGCCTCCCTCCGAGCAGAGTCCTTCCTCGACGTCACGCCTGAGCTCCTTGGCTGTGTTTTGGGGTGCAGGAAGGGCTGAGGGGCAGCAGCCTGGAGGTGTCTGCTGAGATGCTGTGTTGTGTCTTAGGTTGAGATAAGCCGGAGGGTGACCCTGGAAAAGCTACCTCCTGTCCTCGTGCTGCACCTGAAGCGATTTGTGTATGAGAAGACGGGTGGGTGCCAGAAACTTATCAAGAATATTGACTACCCTGTGGACTTGGAGATCAGTAAAGGTAACGGAAGCCTTGGGGACTGCGGGGTGATGGCTGCCACTGTCGCTGTGCAGTGTCAAGCCTTGCTTGGAAAAAAAAAAAGTATTGACTTTTTAATTGATCTTTACACTAAAATTCTCATAAACATGGCAAAAATGACACAGCCCTGTCATCTTTGTAGATTATCAAAACAGGCTCTGTTCATCAAAGGAGCATCTTTATGGAAACAGTTTTTACACTTTTAAAAGTTTTTCCCCAAGATGTGTGTGTGATTTAGAAAGATTGACTTACTGTGGCAGGGAACTGGAGAGAGACACGGGGTGTTGCTGCTTTGTTGTCTTGCGTTTGTTGGTGCACCCCTCAGATGCCTGCCAGCGGGTCCTGGCGTCTTGTCTTAGGATCCGTGGTCTTCTGTCACCTGCCCTGCCCACTGATGTGTAGAAGGTGCTATAGCCCCTTGGGTTTCCCAGGGTAGCTTTGGTGGATGTGTTGTTCCTCTTGGCCGTCCTTGCTCCTGAATGCCCTGTGAGCTGTGCAGCCACTGGGCTCTCCTGCGCAGTGCACCGTGTGTCGCCCACGAGGGGAGCTTTCTGCCGCCGGGGTAGAGTTGCGTGCGTCCCCAGTCTGCTGGCGGCTTCCCTGAGTGGGGCCTTGGAGCTGCTTGGGCTGTCCTGCACTGTCCTACAAGTGCTTCTATGAATTTGAACTGTTGCTATTTTGTTTTTCAGAACTGCTTTCTCCAGGAGTTAAAAATAAGAATTTTAAATGCCACAGAACCTACAGGCTGTTTGCAGGTAAGTAAGCATGTGCAATGTTACTGTCTCATTATTGCAGTGCAGCTAAAAGCTGTCGCCCGGGGCCTCAGGGGCCTTTAGTCATCAGGATCTCCCTCTCACCTAGAATCCAGCACTTGTGGCTGAACACAGCCACGCCGGGCCCTGAGGTGGGCCCAGCACACCCCTGCCCTAAGTTTTCAAGCTGGAGGCTGGTGTGCTGGTCACCCAGCCAGGTGAACAGAGCGCATTTGAGCTGGCAGTCCCTGTGTCCTCTGCCATCTGGTGCCATCTGGTGTTTGGGAAAGTGACCTGGACTGCACAGACCCCTTGGTTGCCAGACAGCCCCCGCTTGGTCCCGGGACAGTTCCAGGGGGCTTAATGGTGCCCTGACCCCCCGACAGCTGGGCCCTGAGTCCCACAGTATCAGGCTTCTTTCTTGGCCTTGTCCTCCCGACTGTCCACCTCTGCTGTGACTTCAGTGCCCCTGAATCCTGCTGTAAAATGTATTTGTTTATTTCTTGGGTAGGCAGGGTGAGAGCAAGCAAGGGCTCCCTGCTGGCTGGTTCAGCCTCCACATTCATTCCCTTGGCAGCCAGGCCAGGCTGAGGCTGACAGCAGGAGCCGAGAAGTCCACGCTGGGCTCCCGGAAGGGACGCCACAGCCCATCCCCAGAGCTGTCAGCGCAGCCTCCCAGCTGACGGCCTGAGGCGGGCATCAGGCAGGTACGACTGCCCGTCCTGCAGTGGGAGGCGTCTTTGGGACAGTTTTGTGATGTTTTTGAATAGGAGCCCTTTATTCCTTAGGACTATCTCCATTTTATAGAAAAGCGCAGTAGCAGAGCTCAGCCGCCACTCTGCCTGGAGGCCACAGGAGTTTCCTGTTCCTGAGGCCTTAGGAGCTCTGGCCCAGCTGTGGCTCGGGGCCCTGGCCATCCACAAGGTGCCTTGTCTTCTCTTGGACTTTGCTCCCAGAGCTTGGCTGCTGATCCACAGTTCTTCCCCTTCTCCTTGCGTCTGGGCCCCTGGGCCCTGCCTGTGTGTGGGAGGCGGTTCCTGGTGTTCAGGATGGGGCCAGGTGTGAGCACATACCCACTTGCTTTGAGGCCTCTCTGCATTCTCACCTCTGAAGTGAGGTTGCTGGTAGGGGTAGAATTCTCTGTAAAATGCAAGGACAGAAATCCGTTTATTTATTTGAAAGGCAAATTCAGGGAGAGACATAGGAATCTGTCCACTGATTCACTCCCTGAATTGTCACAAGGCTGGGGCTGGTAGGAGCTCCGTCAGGCTCTCTCACGTGGCTGGGGCCCAAGCACTGGGCCCTTTTAATCTGTGGCCCAGCACTGGCCGTGAGAAAGCCATTTTGAAGATGACTGTGCTTCAGGACCGAGGAGATGTGTGCTGTTGGCATTGTCAGGAACTGAAGCTACTCAGAACTCCCCTGCGCCCCTGCCCAGTGGGCCTTGCAGCCGAGGAGGCCTGTGGCACGGGGGTCACCTGGCAGGCTCACAGGCCACACGGCCACCCCAGGAGCAGCTGCGCTCTGCCCGGAATGTGGGTGCACTCCACAGCCCTGTCCGCCTGGCAGCCTGCAGCAGTCATGTGAGTTGGAGGCCTGGGACTCGGTCTTTTTGCTTGGATTACAAGATTTTTTTTTTTTTCAAAAGTGAATAGAAGGTGGGGTCTTTTATGTCTTGTTTTGTTTTTAAAGGTTTATTTATTTTTATTGATAAAGCAGATTTACAGAGAGAAGGACTTTCCATGTGCTTCTCCCCAAGTGGCCACAGTGGCCAGAGCTGAGCCAGTCCAAAGCCAGGAGCTTCTTGCATGGTCCCCAGGCTTTGGGCTGTCCTTTACTGCTTTCCCAGGCCACAAGCAGGCAAAGTAGGGAGTTGGGTGTGAAGTGGAACAGGCAGAACATGAACTGGTGCTCATATGGGAGGATAGCCCTTGGCTGTCGCACCAAGCCTCTTATTTATTTATTTAGGTTTTTTTTTTGTTTTGTTTTTTTTTTTTTTTTTACTATAAAAAGATTGCTACAGAAAAAGAGAATTTTTTTAAAAGAAGAGATAGGCCTAATGGTGTGTCTGCACACGGGGCATCTCGCACGAGGTACCATGGGACCCGCTGTGGAAGCACTGTTGCTGCGACCTGATTTACTGCGGTGTCTTTCTCCCCCAGCGACAGTTCTGTCTTTGGGTCGTCTGTACAAGTGCTGTTGTAGTCTCTGTGCTGGATCCCCCTGTCCTCACGGACGGCCTGGCAGCGGGCTGGCTGGGTGGGGAGTGTGTCGGGGCCCTGTGGCTCCCTGGCTCGCTGTGTGGAGTTGTCAGGAACATGGAAGCCTTCCTTAGGCGATGGAGCCCGGGGGTATTCAGGTGGTCAGCGTGTGCACAGATGCCTTGCCTCCCACCCACGCGGGGAAGCTGTGCGCGTGGTGCATGTGTGGAGGGTCACACGGTGCCGTGAACAGTCGTGTGCTCTCTTACAGTGGTCTACCATCACGGCAACAGCGCGACGGGCGGTCATTACACCACCGACGTCTTCCAGATCGGGCTCAACGGCTGGCTGCGCATCGATGACCAGGTGGTCAAGGTGGTTAACCAGTACCAGGTGGTGAAGCCAGCCGCCGAGCGCACGGCCTACCTCCTGTACTACCGCCGTGTGGACCTGCTCTAGCCTGGGCTCGCTGTGTGTGTCCGACGCCCGCTTCGTAGAACACCAGTTCTCACCAGCTGCCTGCCTCCCGTTAGTGGCTCTCTAAGGGAAACTCCGCTCCTTGGCAGGATTGGGCTGGGAAGCAGGGGAGACGCCGCGGGGTTTGCACAGCGTAGTTGGTGTTGACTTCCCAATCAGAATCATTTGGTCCAAACAGAGTGCGCTTGGTTTCAGAATACACACGAACACCCATATTTCCCAGATAATGCTGATTCCTGAGAGAGGGGGCACTGGCGTTGGACCCCGGTCTCATTGCTTACAGTGAGTCCCGCACCAGCAGCAACACTTGTAAATTTGTGAAAATGAATTTTATCTTTCCTTAAAAAATAAATTTTTTAATCCATCACACTCTCCTCCCCTCACCCTTTAGTTTTTGATAAATGGTAAAAATGAGCCAGTTTTCAGAGGAGAAATAGTTCTTCCTTCAGAAGACATACACAGAAAGAAGTTGCTGGTTCCTAACAGGAAAAGTACGTTTTAATAATTGTGTGACAAGAAGCTGCTTCCGTACTCCCTGCAGACCCCGTCTGGTTCCGGTGTTAGTCTGCGTAGGTGGGTCACTGTGACTGCTGCATTCAGAGATCTCCAGTTGCATTCATGCTTCTGTGTACACGTGTGAAAAGTGGGCAAACTCCTGACGATGGGCGCCCTCGCGTCCGCTCCGTCACTCCTGCTGTCTCCGTAACGCTGCGTCCCTACTGTACACAGTTCTGTGACCTCTGCCACTGAAGTTGTCACCCGTCAATAAAAGTCACAACGGTGTTCTCATGTCGCTGTGTTTCTGGGCCTGGGCCTGGCGAGCGAGCGCTGATGGGCCTGGGGTCTGTGCTGCCCTGGGCCACAGCCGCCAGGACAAGGGTTTGGGTTTTCTCCATGTTTGGGTTTTCCTGCCATTCCTGTGTCCTAGCGGTTCTTACCAAGCAGCTGGTGGTGGTGCAGGCAGTGGAGCCCCTGTGGTGGCGGTGCGGAGCCCTTCCCCAGCAGGCGCCTCAGCAGTGGGCAGATGCAGGCGTGCCTGTGGCCCCCAGCGCCTGGCCTTGTGCACACACACCTCTGGTGTGCGCTAGGAGACGCAGGGTTGGTTTGCACGTGGCTGGGCTGTTTTTCCAAGCTTTGGCTTCTGTGGCTCCGAGCTGACTATGTGGCATCCACATAGCTTCCGTGGCTGCCACAGCCCCTGTCGGCTCAGCCTGACCTGCATGCCCACCTCCCTGCTGGATGGTGCCATGGTGCGCAGGGATAAGAAGGTGTCCGCCTTGGCAGTGACCCAGCCTGCCGTGGATGAACGACTGTGGCCCTGTGGCCCTGTGGCCCTGTTCCTTCTTCACTGATGGCTTATCCTCTGTCACTGGTGTTGGTCAGGCATGAGGTGGATGCCAGGGCCTCTGACCCGGTGTGGGATGTGCTTTTTCAGGAGGCTGGTCACTTCCATGTGGGTCTTGGTGAGGAACAGTCCCCAGCTCTTCTGGGCGGCTCAGGTCCATGTGTGGTCGAGCCTGAAGTGATGCAGGTGTGAAGACTGCCTTCGAGTCTTCTGAACAGGGTTAGAAGTGAATTAAGGCCTTGGGGCCACAGGAACCTGTCCAGCCCCTCGATCTTGCGCTGCTGCATCCACGCCAAAGCCACTGCCCCTGGGCTGGGGTGGCTTCCACCTGTCCTGCTGGTGCTCGGCCAGGGACCCTCCCCTCGCCCTTCCTGCAGCGGTGGTGTTTATCACACTGGGCAGAACGCATGGTTGCCCCCGTCATTGGCCCGTTGTGGCAAGAAGAGGAGCTACAAGGTGACTTAACGCACAGGGTTTCCTTCTTGCAGGATTGATCTGGCATGCAGACAAGGCTTAGTCCTGGCTTACAGACGGCTGCCACCTCCTGCATCCTCAGAGTGAGTACTCATCTCTGTCTGCTTATGAGGGACACTAGAGCCATGGCGGCCCGGGGTACACCCTCTTGGCCTCCAGGCCTAGGAAGGCCCCATGTGCTGACAGCACCCACTGAGCCCCGGGCTGTACAGTTGTGTCATCCCTGGCGCCTGTGGTGCCAGCCTCCAGAGACTGCGTTCACAGCCGAGACAGGGCTTGTCGGATCTGCTTTGCTGAGGCAGAACCCATACATATCTGTGGATGGGATGGAAAACACTGGATTAGCCTTTTATCAGCCTTTGGCTCCGGGGGAAGTGCCTGGCCAGGGGTGCAAGACTCAGTGTCTGGCAAACCCCTCTCTTTCCCAGGTCCCAGGCGAGAGTGGACGTCTGTGTTGTCCACTCTTGGGGCTTGAAGCAGTGCTGGTATCTCCTGCTGCCTTGTGTCTGGGACCGCGACTTTCAGGGGTTAACCCCCTCACCATGCTCAAAGACCAAGTTGCAGGGAGGGTGAGAGCGCACACGAGCCTCTGCTGTTTCACTCTCCAAGTGGTCACAACAAGAACCGGGGGTTTCTTGCAGGCTTCCCTGAGGGTAAAAGGGCTCAGATACCCAAGCTCCCTCTGCTGCTCTCCCAGGTGCATTTGCAGGGAGCTGCGTGTGAAGTGGAACAGCTAGGACTTGAACAGGACTTACGGGATGCCAGTTGGGCAGGTGGCAGGCAGCTTAGCCTGCCATCTTGTGCTCAGGCTTTGAAGTCTGAGCGAGTTCCTGTCGCCTGAGGTACCTCGCCTGCCCAGGCCAGCGGACTGGGAAGCTTCTGGGTTCTTTGCGTTTGCTGATTGAACCAGTGCACGTAGTACTTGCATCAGCAGCAGCTGGTTTGTGCCGAGGCCCTTGGGAAGGGCTCAGTGTGTGAGAACGGCCGAGGCCGTTCATGTGCCCCAGCTTGAGAAACATCAGTTGTGCTTCCTCCGTGGAGACAGTGGCCCCCTTGAGTTTCTGAGTCGGTGGGCTTTTTAAATTTTATTTTTATTTTGGGGGTAAGGCAAGTTTACAGAGAAGGAGAGAAAAAGATATTCCATCTACTGGTTTATTCCTAAGTGGCTGCAATGGCTGGAGCTGAGCCAATCTGGAGCCAGGAGCTTCCTCCATGTTTCCTGTGTAGGTGCAGGGTCCCAAGGCTTCCCCAGGCCACAAGCAGGAAGCTGGATCGGAAGTGAAGCAACCAGGATATGAACTGGCATCCATATGAGATCCTGGCACTTGCAGGTAGAGGATTACCAACTGGGCCATTTCACCAGATCCCTGAGTCAGTGGGCCTATGAGACATACTGCCATCTGTTCACGTTTCTGAGGGAAGACCCACAGCTGGCAAGGACACGGCTCCCAGCTCTCCAAGCCCTTGGCAGCGGCTGCTTCTGCTTCTCCCCACCCAGTGCCTGCTGCCCTCACAATTGCTGTCTTAGTTGAATGACCAGCTGTGGGCTTCCTGTTGGGACTTGAGTGTAAATGTGCTCTCCAGCTGTGTGTCCCGCTGTGCTCTGCGCCAAGGGCAGTGGTGGTGAAGTGTCCCATGCACCGTCCTTGGCAGCAGCAGGAACCAGCAAGTGTCCCTGACTGGCTGAGTATGCGGGGCTCTGCCCGTGGGTTTCCTGGCAGACCACCCAGTGAAGGAGTTGCTGTCTTAGCGGTCATGTTAAGGTGCCTGCCTTTGTTCCTCTGCAGCACACCACCACGGTTTACACTGTATCCCACGCACGCCTGTAGACTGGTGCAGGTGTGACATCTGCAGGCATCTAGCCTGTCTGCCACTTGTCCGGGTCCGAGATGCAGGCTGTGTGCTTCATTTTCAAGCAGCGTGACGTCTCCCTGGACTCCCTGCCTGTGCTTCCCACAAAGAAACTCTTCTTGACCTGCTGTGTGAGAATTTTGATATTTTGTGTTGGACTTATAGAAAAAAACATGATGGGCCCGATGCAATAGCATGGTGGCTTAAGTCCTCGCCTTGCATGTGCTGGGATCCCATATGGACACTGGTTTTAATCCCTGCAGCCCAGCTTCCCATCCAGCTCCCTGCTTTTGGCCTGGAAATACAGTCAAGGACGGCCCAAAGCTTTGGGACCCTGGCAGCAGGAGAAAGACCTCTCGCTCTCCCAGAAGAGACCCAGAAGAGGCTTGTGGCTCCTGGCTTCGCATTGGCTCAGCTCCAGCCATTGCAGCTGCTTGGGGAGTGAACCATCGGACAGAAGGTCTCTCCTCCTCTCTGTATACCTGCCTTTCCAATAAAAATAAATCTTTTTAAAAAAAGAAAAAACATGAGCTCTGCTTCTTCAGGTGAGATGACATGCCTCCTGGGAAGACCAGGCTTTTGTCCCTGACCTGACGTGCCCTAGCACCCATCCTGGCTCCAGGTAGCACCTTGCTGTGCGCCTAAGATCACTGTGATGCCCCAGGCTAGGGGCACATGTGGCCGTCCTGTCACCCCATGTCGCCTGCGCTTTCCCCATCACAACCCCTGTGTTCCCCAGAGAGGCTGGCCAGCGCTGCCCAGCATCTCAGCCAAATGCGCTGCCCTAGTGTCCACATATGGGGCTGCCATGGTGACGTAAGACTTTTGGGAGTCAGATCTTCCATCCTCTGGTCTCTGTTGGTGTTGTACGTGGGTGCAGGGGCCCAAGCACTCGACCATATTCCCCTGCTTCCCGGATGTGTCAGCAGCAGCTGGGACTTGAACTGGTGCTCTGGGTTTGTGGATTGATTTATTCAAAGAGAGTGAGAAATCTTTCTCCTGCTGTTTCATTTCTAGAACACTAGTAGCAGGCACCAGAACTGGGCTAGACAGAAACCCGGGGCCAGGAGCTCCATCCGGGACCAAGTGCTCGGTCGGTCCATCTTCCACGGCTTTCCCAGGTATGTGGCCAGGGAACTAGTAGGAAGCAGCACAGCTTGAACACAAAGTAGTGCATTATAAGCACTGCCTACCCAACTGCATCACAGTGCCAGCCCCCAGATGTGCCAACTTTTAAATTGTATTTTAATACACTTGAAATAGTAATAAAGAGCAAGCTCTTCCAGCCCCTGGTTCATTCCCCCAGATGTTTGCATTAGCCAGTTCTTAGGCTGAAGCCAGGAGCCCAGAGCTCCATCTGGGTCTCCCCTGTGGGTGGTGGGAGCCCAAGCACTTAGGTCATTATGGCTGCCTCCAAAGGATCTTGGGTTAGAAGTGGAGCAGCTGGCATTCAAGGCAACACTCCAGTCGGGATTGTGGGCATCCCAAGTGGCAGTGTACCTGCTGTACTGTAAGGTATGCCCCAAACTGCTCTGTTTTTGAAAGCTAAATTAGGGGAGGCAAGGTGGCATGGGGTCTGATCCCTTGTTCTGTGGTGCCAGCATCCCCTATGGGCACCAATTGAAGTCCCACTGCTCTGCGCCCCCATCCTGCTTCCTGCTTGTGGCCTGGGAAAGCAGTAGAGGACAGCCCAGGCCTTTGCAACCCTGCAGCCACATGACAGACCCAGAGGAAGCCCCTGGCACTTAGCTTGGGTTAGGGTCAGCTCTGGCCATCTGGTTCTTCCCCACAACTGGCAGGACCCTGAGCACTCAGGCTGTATCCAGTGCCTTCCCAGGCACAGTAGTGGGAGCAGGCAGGACTCCAGCTGGCGCTCACACATGCCCAGCGGGCTCCACACAGCACTTACCCGAGGCGGGGTGGCACCTCTCCCAAGGGCTGCGCATTCAGTGTAGCGAGGATGGCCTGTGTGTACTCACTGTCGCGCAGTGGTTTGGGATTCGCTGTGAGCCAGTGCCAGGGGCCGCCACAAATCTGCACGTTCATCTGGTTCGCGTTTGCTTTGGGACGGCCAGGAGCCTAGCTGTCTTGTTGCTGTGATGGGAAGGCATGCGCTGCG